TATATATATATATATATATATACATATATATATAAACGTATTCGCTAATTTTGTGGAATCGATTTCCTAACTTTCACGCTATCACTACCCGGTATAACACAGGACGGCGAATGTTATTTTTCTGCAAACATCTATTTGTGCCCGCAAAGTCTAAGAAGATGATACTGCGATCAGTTTTTGTATCATCTACGTCTACTTCAAGCTGAGAACGCATCAATGCTAGCACCTTTGAGATAGTCAATCTGAGAGAAAATGGCCCTGATTAGCAAGTAAATGCCGTTCACGAAGCCGTTGACCACGACATCGCCAAACGTTGAATCAATATCACTGGATATGAGGATTCAGCTGCGATAATTTAATTGCATTATACCTTTCAGCACGAAATTAGATGTGTACTATCACTGAGTATGAGAGCACACGTAAAACCAATCGAAAGTTTCCATTCAACTCGCCTATATCTTCAGATTATGAGTTTTATAAAGAAAAAGATATCTAGTTGCGCATGTCGATCAAAATGAAACGTGGTATAGGTGCTAGTGGTTGACTTTTCAAAAAGGTATGAAAATAAACCATACGTCCGCTTTCCACGGTCTGAGCGTGGAAAATCGCGTTGCATTCCAAACAGGTGAACCTTGGGGTCTCGATCTGCCCGGACTACGTCAAAATGCAATGAAGACGGAGTTCAAACGGTGATGAGTCATAAAATCTTTCCTGAATGTTGTCTAGGACATTCTGGGCTGTCATTCTTAGCAAAAACAAAGTAAAAACGCCATTTCGATATGGTTTTCCGGCTCCCTCCACATGAGAATATAAACTGAATTTTCGTTTCGTAACCTTCACTTCCGTGAATTTCACCATTCGGCATGAACTCACAACCACTAAGGGATGCATGTTTTACCTTGTAACCTAAAATTACTGTCAGTTAAACGTGTAATAATGACTGTTGTAAGAGTGGCTTCCGGAAACCAATGCACGTCGGCTTGTTAACCTCTGATTTTTGGAAAAAAACACATTCCTTGCTCTGCGTTTATATTTTCCCATCACTTTGTGACAAGACAACTAAGAGGCATTGATGAAGATACTTCCGGTATGTTCCATTACTGATTGGATTCACGATAACCGAGAGTTTGGTGTTTGATATGTGGGTGGTCCTCTG